CTCACATCGGCTAGAAAACAGGTATAAACACGTCACTCATTTGACGCGAAGTGAAAAAAGGCTGGTTTTCTTTATACAGCCCGTTTTAAATTTGAATTGTTATTATAATAAATTTTAATTATTGTTCGCTTACATTTCGGTCAACCGCGCAAATTGATTATTAAAGAACATAAAACAGCAAATTTTGTTTAGTTTTAAATACGGTTTCGTAGAGTGCAGTATAAAGACAAATGCATAAACGCTCGAAAGAATTATGTGTTGAGGCAAATCGGCATTTTGTTAATGCGGTTCTTGCGTAGGTATAAACAAGGTATATGTCAGCTTCTGGTTGAATTGTTGAACCACAAGTCAGAACTCCTCCTATGCCTGAAGAACTGGTTCTCAAACCAGTTAATGCAATAACAGCTTCTTCCAAGCCATTGAAAACATGCACTTTGTTAGGCCCACCACCAGTTGCACTTGCTTCTGCCCTCGGCCGCGCTTAGGGATTATAACCCTTAATAAGTAGAATTCTCCTTTCTGTGTTACCGGAGAAGAGGGGCTTCCGCATGTCAAATGTATACAACACTTCTTTTGAATATCACTCCGATTACGCCATCCACAGTATTTTTGCGCAGAACCCACGTCGAAATTTGCAAAAAAGTGCATAGTACAAACCGAATTTATTAATAAGCTAGTACTGGGAAATTGGAAACATTCATTTTAAATAAAATTTTAATCCTTTGGTTACACGTGATGTTAAAGTTTTTGGATTCGGGTTATACGTTTGGACACAACAACCGAATATCATTGTACAAATAACTAAACCGGACCCAAGTTTCTCGATAAGGGGCAACAAAGATTATTTTTTGCTCCTTTATATAAAGCAGTGGATAAAAATGTACGTATATGCGAAACGCAAGTTTATCTGTTTAAATGAACACCACTATTATTTCCTGCAAACACACATCGATTTACATATTTTATCTCGCCTCCGACACAGAATTGTTTTCGTACAAAATTACGCATAAAAGCTTACTCGTTCGTTTTTAGACATGCCATTGTTACGAATTTCGAAAGTTCGAAAATACGATTCGGATTGCAGCATACTATTTCTACGATTCGTAGCAAAATCCGAATACGAAAGAGTTGCAGAATAGGGGTGTAAGTTTTGCATAACTGAGCATTAAAACCTTACAGGTTCTTAAGTTTCTTTAAGTTTTAACTAACCTGTTGGCGGTTTCTCATATAACAGGTTGGCAAATATATTAAGCTAAGTTAAGGTACGAAAGTTAAGTCTGAACTAACTGAGCTTTTAGCCACTTATCGGCATCGGCATGCTGCGTACGTGGGAATTGGTAGGAAGCGATGAAAACTGTGCACACTTGCACGACATCGACACCGCTGCGAAACAATATCGCATGCGTATCGCACGTGCGACACCGCTGCGATATAATATTGCATGCGTATCGCAAGTGCGATACGGTTTTCTGAACGAGGTGAGACTAGTATTGCGCGGCATTTTTTGCAATAAGCATGATTCGTTTCGTTTCAGAGAGATCGTTTCATCCTCAATTTTTTTTAGTCGAATTAATAAAAACAAACCATGTTCATGGAACTATACCGAAAAAAAACTACTGTAGAACAGACATGACTAGTTTGGCATGGAGATATATAGCGTCTGAGGTCAAGGACACAGGTAAATGCACAAAAGAATATTTTTCGTAATGGTTTATTGGCCTTTGTTTTCACATCTTTAAAAAGAAGTTTAAAGAATCCAATAATTTTAAACCTATTTATTTTGATTTTGAATAGCAAAAAGGATTTGGTGTTTGTTTAAATGTTAATGATTAACTACTTGTTTCAAATATTCAAATAAATAGTAATCAATGTACTTAGAAATAATTAAGAAATAATCATCTCATTTACCATTAAAAGAAGAAATCAGATATAATAACAAATACCAAAAAATGATGTATGTATGTATGTAATTATTTTTGATTATTCGTTATATTTTTATATGTTTTTTTTCTTGAGTGTTATTTTATTATATTTAATAAGTTTTTAAATTAAATAGAAAAAGTAAAAATTTGTGTGCTCTATAACCGAATTCTACAAAAAATAATGAAGTAAAAATACCTGGTAAGTCATGTTATTTTTCAGGTAGGTTTTGCCGAGTGAAGTAAGAATCGAGCTACGAAATTTTTGTCACACACCCACAAAATCTTGCTTTACTGTTAAAAAACCGGTTTTCCGCACTTATAAGCTTGTAACTCAGTTGACTATATACCGAGTTTAGACGTTTCGAATGATATATGTACATAAACTTTTAGAAAACTTAAGAGATCTGTGTGTATTTTCTGTGTTAATTTTTTTCGTCTTTTTATACTTCTCCTGAATTGATGCAAAATTAACATTTAATATATAGTGAATTTTACTTTAAAAAATCGGGGGAAAGTTATTCAACCTTTCATAAGAAAAATAATCTTTTTGGCTATACAACTTTAAATTTTTTGTTTAACCTTTTTTTAATTCAGCTTTCACCGATTTCTTCTTGTAGTGAACGCAATATTCTGAAATAATTTGTCAGAAAAATTTGAATATCTCATTTAATTTTTAGCCGACTTTGTAAAAATAAACTTCAGTTTTACTCGGTATTAAACATACCTTTCTCTTAAATTTTTTAAAAGCTTATAGCAGAGACCGTACCGGTTATGCATTTTATAATAAAAGTCAAAAAATTTAAGTTATTTTCTTACTTTTATCATTTTGAGCAAATAATACCGATTATTTCTGCTTTTTATTTTTTTAAGGCAAAAATAAAAGTTAAAATTTGCCTTTTATTTTTTTGAGCAGAAAATAATCGGTAATTGTTGACTTTATTGTTAAAAATGTTGATGACTTAATTAGCTGATCGCAAGTGTACGTTTATTTTTTATTTTTTCCAAAAACTTGTATGTATCGTAATATAAATAAGTATTTAATGATCAATTATCGTTTACTTTCTGTAAATCTTTAACTAAGTGGCAACCCTCGAACAAATATATCTTTGTAAAATATCACTTCTTTTCCTTTTCGTTTGATATATAATTGGATATCATTAATAAATTACTTACCGTTCATGGTTATAAACTTTTTAAATAAATATCGCAGAAGCTCACATAACATCCTTTCGTTAGATACCAATATTAGATATGTTTAAATATTATTTCAATACGTGCACCATTTTTTTAAGTAGCTGGCAACTACATATGTATATTAAAAACACGATCATATTAATTTAGTTTAAAATCTTCTCGTTTGAGGCCCACTTTGTAACATTTTAATTAACTAAAATATTTCAATCAATAAATTAGAAACTATATGACAACCATTGAAAATTCGCATACAATTACACAAAAGCCCTCTTAACCAGCTTTCGTTTGATAGCAATATCGAATGTCCTTAATACATTACTTACCATTCATTGTTATAAATTTGTTTAATAGGTGGTAACTCTATTAAAAACACCAACATATTAATTTAGTCTCAGTGACATTTTACTGACTATCATATTTAAACAATGCATTTTTAATTAGGCGGCAACTCTTTAAAAAACCAAAACAGTCAATATCTTTCATTTGACATCTCATTTGGAAACGCGACGGAACGGTGTAAATCTGACGCTCTTCCCAAAAATAAAAATTTATTAGGCGGCAACACTTAAAAAAAAAAAGACGTTCTTTCTTGCAAATCTTTAGATCAAGCCCGTTTACAAGGCACCTTTTTTTAAATTGCGCGAACGGTGTAAGTCTTATGATATTAGAAGCATGTGGCAACCCTATTCTATCTATATCTACAGGCCCAGCCCTTCTATTTGGCACCTCTTCTCTTTTAATACAACGAACGGTGTAAATCTTCTATTTCAGATGCAGTTGGCAACCCTATTAAAAAAACTGAGGTCTTCCTGCACATCTAAAGGCCTAGCCCTTTCATTTGGCACCTCCTCTGTTTTAATACAACGAACGGTGCAGATTTTATAATTTTAAGAAAGGTGGCAACCCTATTCAAAAAAGTCATGCTTTATGGTATATACATCTAGAGGCTATGCCCTTTAATTTAGCACCTCAGTTTTTAAAGTCGAATAATCGGTGCAGATCTGATGCCGTTAACAAAAACTCCCTTCATGTATTGTATGTATACATATGTATATAGATGTGAACTAACCCTGGTATTTGGGTATAGGGGTTATTAAAATCCATGTAGGAGCTTCAAAACTATCACATTCGAATATACACATCTCTGGAATACTTGATTTTTAACTTTGACTTTTATTTTTGCCTGAAAAAATAAAGGTCAACAATTACCGATTAAAAAAATAAAAGGCAAATTTTAACTTTTATTTTTGCCTTAAAAAAATAAAAAGCAGAAATAATCGCTATTATTTGCTCAAAATGATAAAAGTCATATTTTTAAAAGTCATGGAGGAATCAGAATCTACAATGGGAGACGAGTCTAATGGTACCTTTGAAAAAGCTATAACATAATTTTTTCACTATGCCTTTTTGATATCAAAAATTTTAAAATAACTTTTATTTTCAGTCTCTGGTTTATAGATATAAACATAGACCCATCATTCGAAAGGTCTAAACTCGGTTGAGAAGCAACTCATTTAACTCATTAACAAGCTTATAAGGGCACACAAGTTTGTGTAGCTATCACAAAAGGGAATCGCGTGTCGCATCGCATATCGCATCGCTCTAATGTGCACTGTGCGCATTTCATATCGCATCGCCTATCGTATCGCGTATCGTATCGCATATCGCATCGCATATCGTATCGCTCTAATGTGCACGGCGCCTAAGAGTTGGTTTGTCAGTACGTATACTTAATTTACAACTCTGTATTGCATCTAACCAGACTTAACTGGACATTTTTAGAAGTAAACTAATAGGGGATGAAATCGCGATTCGTTAACAACACTTTCTCAAATTTGACTCAACAAAAGCTGTGGCGAGCACTAGCTTTAGTCGTTATTGAAATGTCTAATCGAAAAGAGGTGTTTGCTTAGTGCAGTGCGTCATCATACGTGCGCCCTCGTGACAAATAGTGACTGCACCCGACAGCCCCTAGCATCCTGCCAAGCCTAAATATTTGCCTATTCCACTAGTAGACTAGCGTGATTTATCATATATTATTACATTCCATTTAACTTTTACATTTCGTGTACGAGTGTGTATTAATCAATACAGTTGATTAATATTTAATTGATATATATATATGGTATTCCTCTAAACAAGCAATTCGTCGTCTTCGTGGCCGTCGTGGTGTGTCCATTCATATACGTTGAATGAGCGAATGCGTGTGCTTTGCTGTCGAAGTGACCTGACCGATGAAGGTAAGTTCAATTACTTTAGCCCTAACTCATTGAATTTGCCCAAGTTTTGCACGAAAACCATATTATATGCATGCATGTTCGTTAGTTTTTAAATAAATACACACACACGCACGCACAGATATGTACGTATAGTACATCTAGGGAGAAAAAGGTATGTGTCAGCAGCAGCAACAGCCCCATGGTATCTAATGCGCACGCATCCCCTGCAGGAAAACCGCGAACTTGTGAATCAAAATTCTAGTGTCGTACTATATCTTGATCGCCAAAAACGAACCAGGCCGAAAGTAACTAGACCCCCACCCCCACCAGTTCAAAATCAACAGAATGTGGTACTTTTAAAAAACTATTTTATTTTACTTTTTCATTAGAAATCTATATCTAGGCTGACGAATTTAGAACTAGTTCGGAGCTATATAAAAAGGGATGCAGAACGAACTAGATCTTAACTGTCGTATTTAGAACTACATAGTTCGGAACTATCGAAAAAGGGATGTAGCAGGGGGCTTGTTTACTTTACATAGATACGTGCTTGGCGGCTTTTTCGTTCAAACAAGCTTCCGTTCTGCACCTCCCAGATGCTTTTTCATAGCTTGGTTATAAAATAAAACAAAAATTTGTGTTAATATATTAACATCTTGTGACCTTCTGGAATCTAACCAATAACAGCATGCACATCTGCAAACTCAGCTACAGACAAAGGTGTGTACACTTACATTTCTTACAATCATTCGAACACATTTAATTTCAAATTGAAACACACATTTCTTTGAAAATAATTTAAAATCGCCCACCGAAGACCCCACAAGATTGAAAAATAATGGGACTTTTTTCTTTCGTCTATCGATTTTAGAACTGGTGCGGAACTATAGAATTGAGGACTAGTTCGAAACTATCGAAAAAGGGATGCAGCGGGGGGCAATTGACACTTCCAAGAACATCGCCATGTTAAATTCGCCAGATTTATCGCGAACCAGTACTGGGTCTAAATGAATTAGAAGCGCACCAGTTCAGAACTAGAGAGCTTCCCCACAGGGTCTATACATTCATACATGCATACACATATAATATGTACGTATGTATTCAATATGTTTGGGGCGCCTGCAAGTTCATTCGTCTGTCCACTCGACACTTTTTATTGGCGTTGGCCGCTTGAGTGAGCTAACGCTTTATGCGTAGATTAATGCTTCCTGTTACAATTTTTCGCCGCTCAAGTGCTAATGACTTCATCTGCTTTTCTTCGAAAAATGCCGGTTTAACAACCGAACAAATCTGGATCAGATTATCTATAGTGACATAGCTATAGCTTTGTTCCACACGTGTGTTGAGCTATCATTTGCGAGAATCTGAAAGAAAAACAATGATTTTCTGAAACTTTAGTGCTAGGTTCCATTTTTGTATTTTACGAAATTTGCTTTCGGATGTAACCAAATAACAGCCGTTATATTTCAAATTGACTTCTTGCACATTTGTGCGCGAAAAAAGTCCGGGCTGTTTCGGGCACGGAGAACAAGACATTTAGATCCAAAAGTAGAACGTATTCGCTTTCTATAACCCATTTTTCTAGCGTGAGGATTGCTTTCTGGGCTGTTTTGGGCACCCGCGAGATCCCGCGGGCTCGTGTGGAACAAAGCTATTGCGTGCATTATGCCTACATTTGAATATTCAAATACATACAAAAAAAATAAAAAATTTCAATACCAATAACTTACTAAAAAATTTTTTTTATAGCTTAAAATTATTGTAACCATTAGAGGCAAATACATATCTTGTATAAAAACACATAAACAGAAGTTAACAAAAGATCATATAAAACTATTCGTCGTTTTAAATAGTTAACTTTTTACTACACATGTTTATTTTACGAGGGGGAAGCATCGAAAGCCTAACCCCGTCAGTGTGAGACTTTAACCCAAACTAAACTTCCTACCGTCATGTACCGTTCCCCTCCCGGTATCACCGCCAAGGATTTCATCGGGATTAAAACACTGTGTGACTGATAAGGTTATAGATCTATTCTCTTCTTCTTCTTCTTCTTATTTGGCGCTGTAACTGCCAAAGCGATTTTGGCCGAGTTCAACAAAGCACGTCAGTCGTTTCTATTCTGTGCCAATTGACGAAAATTATAAATGCCAAGTGAAGCCAGAATACTTTCAGAGCTGGTGCGTCGGTGTCAAGCCAGTGGAGCCGATGTATTTTAATTCTTGCACTATGTCCATGTCGTTGTAAAGCTCATACAGCTCATCGTACCATCGTCTGCGGTACTCGCCGTCGCCAACGCGAAAAGGCCCGTAAATCTTCCTCAAAATCTTTCTCTCGAATACTCCAGGAGCCACCTCATCGGATGTTGGCATTGTCCATGCTTCTGCGCCATACACCAGCGCGGCCATGATGAGTGACTTATAGAGTGCGGACTTTACTCCTGAATTTCCTACTCAGTCCAAAGTAGTACTTGTTGGAAAGAGTAATTCTTCGTTGGATTTCCATGCTGACATTATTATCACCGATACTGGTTCCCAAGTAAACGAAATTCTCTGCTTTCTCGAAATTTCAACAGTGACGTGGGTGCCAAGGCGCGAATGTGCTGATTGTTTGTTTGATGACAGGATATACTTCGTCTTGTCCTCGTTTACCACCAGACCCATTCGATTTGCTTCCTTGTCCATCTTGCAAAAGGCAGAACCGACTTCCCGGTTTCTCTTACCGTACTCAAAGCAGTTATGAATTCACCCATCAACATATTCATCGCAAGATTGAAAAAACCAATGCCAAATCAAAAAAGGTTTAACACTGAATGCGTATTGAAACAACTGGTAAACAACTTTTTGATAAAAAGGCAGATTTTTGACAATTGCTCAATTGTAAAAATTCGAAGCGGCGTTACCCAATTTAAGTTTTTTGGTAGAGGGGATTTTATATCATAAATTTGGGATTATCTATAAAACAGTTGTATTAATATATACCTTTTAAAAATAGTTCATATCTTATATTAAAAATGTTTAAATTTTACATTAAATTCGATAAACTCTTCGCAAAAACTTTACATTTATATTAATAAAATTTTAGTGAACATATTTTAAAAATATTTAGTGTCTTTATGCCATCTGATTATTTAACAATGTAACTAGCCAGGACTATTACAATTTTCAATATCGGGTGCGATTGTTTCTGATATAATTTGAACACTGAAATTACAAATTTTGAGGTGTAATTTCATGCATACTTAGGGGATTCACAATTCGTGTTAGACGTCGTAATGTCTTAAAGTTCTTAAAGTTAATTGTTCAATATAAAGTAACGGTTAAAAGCGATTTGAAAGATTCGTTGGGTACAATAAGAGCCAATAATATATTTCGTACTTGTTTAAAAACAGTTTGGTTATGTTACAAGAGGCCTAAAGAGGTATTTAAATTTTAAGACTTTAACACATTACGACACTTAAATGGGTAAAATTAAAATATATTTCACTGTTCAATATTGGAGTTTGGTGTGAAGTATGCAAATAAGAACAACAATTATCAACTTATTGAGCATTAGCCTCAATTATTTAAAAAACAAAACACATTTTGCTTGGTAAAATTTCGATTCTATGAATAAAATGTTTTTAAACAAACAAAAAATTAATAATACAATTTGAAGGATTTTAGATACTGCGTATGGTAGCAGGAAATTTTACAATCTGCCTAATTGTCAGGTTGTTTTTTGTATCATAGAAACACATAGCAACTGATTTCACACTTACAGTGGGATAAACTTAAAACCTCTAATATAAATTAGTTACATTTAGTTAAGATTTTTTTTATCAATTTTAAGTTTTCGTTTGGAATAATTTTCATGAACTAATCTATTAAGAGATCTTTTTAGAAAATTGCCGTACATCCGACATCTATTAAAATTTTGACATCCTCACTTTTTGAAAATAGAAGTTCAAGATACAAGTTTATGTGCAAAAAATAAATTAAACAATAAAAGTCTTCTAATATTTACGGAACTTATAAAAGAAAAATTTTTATTTCATAACCCAGACTTTATGAATAGCCTACTCTATAAGTAATAGTAGAAATTCAGAATTAGTAAATTCAGTGAAGATGTCATTCAAAAGTTTTGAATAAATTCACGTTTCTCTTTTGTGAAAATTTGGGACTATCTTATGCGAGTATTGTCGGCAAAATGTTAGTCTATGAATGATTAAAAATTAACGAATAAACGCGTATCGTCATTCCGCAAAACCGTGTAATTGACATTGGCTGCCAAAAATTGGATTTGCTCACACAAGCTCTTGGCTCAATCCTTATCCATTCGTCCTGAAATATACTAGCCAGAAACTCACATACTCACATACGCGGTTTTGCATTTTGTTGATACGCGGTTTTGCACTTTAAACGACGATATGTATAGCATGTACTTACGGCGGCCGCTGTAGCGGAGTGATTACATGTGTGTACTTCCACTCCATAGAACCATGGTTAAATCCCTAGTCAGAACATAACCCACACCTTCGAGTATATTTCTACTTTGAAAACTCTTCTTATAAAATCATTTAGTGTTCGGATTCAGCCTTAAATATGTACATAGGTGTCTCCATTTGTGCCACAACAACAGAACTCATGCCTCAAGTTAGAGCAGAAGCTCGGCCAAACACTTAGAAAAATATTTTAGCACCAAATATTTATTTGTTTACTTATTTTAAGAGAGATGGCAATCTTATAGTTTCACATTTTAAGTAAAAAAATCTCAACCCTGATACAACATATAGTATTAGTACTGAATGATAATGACAGATTGCATTCACATTCCCTATGTAAATGGGTGTCAACCATTCCATAACACACTACATATTTTGTGTTTACAATTTGTAACCAATCTCAAGAGTGGTTGTTAAATTTTTTAAATCAAACAATCACATTTTTGAAACGAATAAAATGAGGATGCACACTCAATTGATTCAATCATTACACAGCTCTGGACAGCGCCAATGTGAACGCTCTAAGCTAAGAGATCCT